GAGATGTAGAGTAATGTAGTGTAGTGTAATGTCATTAGTGTAGTGTAGTGTAGTTGCAGTTGCAGTTGTAGTTGTAGGCGTAGTGCAGTGTCATTCAGTGTAGTGTAGTGTAGTGGAGTGGAGTGGAGTGGAGTGGAGTGGAGTGGAGTGTACTGTAGTGTAGTTAGCGTAGTGTAGTGTAGTGTAGTGTAGCGTAGTGTAAATGTAGTATTGTTGTTGTTGTAGTTGTAGTTGTAGTTGTAGCTGTATTTAGTGTAGTGTAGTGTAGTGTAATGTAGTGTAGTGTAGTGTAATTGAGTGTAGTGTAGTGGACTGTAGTGGAGTGTAGTGGAGTGTAGTGTAGTTCTAGTGTAGTGTGTAGTGTGTAGTGTGCAGTGTGTAATGTCTAATGTCTAATGTGTAATGTGCAATGTGTAATGTGTAATGTGTATTGTGCAATGCGTAATGTGTAATGTGCAATGTGTAATGTAGTGTAATGTAGTGTAATGTAGTGTAATGTAGTGTAATGTAGTGTAATGTAGTGAAATGTAGTGTAATGTAGTGTAATGTAGTGTAATGTAGTGTAATGTAGCGTAATGTAGCGTAATGTAGTGGAATGTAGTGGAATGTAGTGTAGTGTAGTGTAGTCTAGTGTAGTGTAGCATAGCGTAGCGTAGTGTAGTGTAGTGTAGTGTAGTGGGGTGGAGTGGAGTGGAGTGGAGTGTAGTGTAGTGGAATGTAGTGAAGGTGTAGTTGTAGTTGTAGTGTGGCATATTGGAGTGTAGTGTGGTGTAGTGGTGGTTGTAGTTGAAAATGCTACAATACCCCCACGTTTTTCTCATTTTTGACAAGGTGCACAATCCCTTGCGCCCGCCACGCGAAACGACATCTGAACCTCCAAAACTGGCGCGAACATGTGGTGTTTTGAACATGTTTACTTCGAAATGTGCTTCGCGCCACAACGGCGTCCACTTTTTCGACATCGCAACTTCCAAAAGTGGTCCGAACATGTGGTGTTTTTAACATGTTGACTTCGAAATGTGCTTCGCGCCACAACGGCGTGCACTATTTCGACATCTCAATTTCCAAAAATGGTCCGAGCATGGTGTGCTTTGTACATTTTGACTTCGAAATGTGCTTCGCGCCACAACGGCGTGCACTTTTTCGACATCTCGATTTCCAAAAGTGGTCTGAGCATGGTGGGTTTTGTACATTTTGACTTCGAAATGTGCTTCGCGCCACAACGATGTGCAATTTTTCATCTCTCATCTGGCCAGCTGGCTCCGCACCCGCCGCTTTAGCGAGCCTACTTTTCGACCCTGTGGGGCCACAAACCATTGGAAAAACACAGTGTTTCGCGACTTCCCTACCTTTTCGCATACCTGCATCTTCTTTCTTCTGTCTCTTTGACTTCTAAACTTCCTTCGAACATAACTATGGGAAATCACCATTTTTAATGGGAAAACTCACTATTTCTATGACCATTTTCTATAGCTATGTTAGTTTACCAGAGGGTACATTATATGGATATAACCAACCTGAAAACCTGTACAGTAGTGAAAGGGTGGGTGACAAATATCCATGGACTTTCCATGAAAATCTTTGCTTACCAAAGCGTACAACCAGTATCAATACCACGTGTATAGTTCCATCTCCTTTTCTGGTGGTATAAAGTCCGATTGTTGTTTGGTGGTAAACTCCTCATATCTTTGTTGATGTCCATTTAATCAGTTCTATCAGTTTTTCACATTGCCACAACTCTTCAAGGTTTCATGCCCATTGTTGGTGGTAGACTCCCCATGTACAGGCCACAATTCTTGGTGTCCATTTAACGTCGATTTACCTCCAATTGCCTGGTACTATCCAATAAACCTTGCCCCATGTGGGTGTCTCTGTAAATTGGGGTACCCCAAAACCATTTGTTTCCCTGTTAAAAATGACTTATTTCGGATGATTTCGGGGTCAAACATTTTCAGACACCACCATTGTTAAGTTTCAGGATGAAATCAAATATAAAACAATGTAAATCCAGGATCCATATATTATATTTACAGTAAATACATATAAATATATATATATAACTCTTTTTGGTAACTGGCGTCACCACCATTGTTGATTCAAACCGTGGGGCGCTCGAAGCCCATGACGACCAGGGCAATACGGAGAGCTGGAGCCACACAGGCAAGGGCGGACTAGGAGTTCACAAAAGCCAAATGTATGCTTCTATAACTCATAGTAAATATATATATATATTATTGTATGGTATTGTGTTATTATATTACTACTATATTATCGTATATTATATTATATCATATTATATTATATCATATTATATTATATCATATTTTATTATATCATATTATATTGTATTAAATTATGTTATATCATATTAAATCAAATTATATTGTATTATATTGTATTGTATTGTATTATATTGTATTATATTAAATGATATTATATTGTATTATATTGTAATATATTATATTATATTATATTATATTATTTTATTTTATATTATACTATACTATACTATATCATTTTATATTGAGTTCTATTAAATTCTATTATAATACATTATATTGTATTATATTGTATTATATTGTATTATATTATATTATATTTGGTTAAATTATATTATATCAAATTTTGTTTTATATGTATATTATATGTATATAAATGTAGACATCATATAATATATATAAATAATATATTGTATATATATACATATACCATACGCATACATGTAAGCGTGATCATGTCATGCAATCAATTTGTAAGAAAAAACTGGCTCAGCGGGGCTTCCTCAGACAGGCTTGTGGACTTGCAACAAAGGAAGACCTTCACAATTCCAAGTATATCCCAGTTGGGCATGAGAAAACCACAGTAGCAACAAGAAACTGCTATATCTGCTAAACCATCCAGGTAAATTGATGCATCATTTCAAGCATCTTTTTGAGCTACTATCCTTTCTGGGCACTCCGGGCCCAGTATATAATCAAAGGGGTATAGTATGGGTCAAAAATGGACTACACATGGGCCTATGTAACTTATGTTCTGGCCAAAGGTCTTTAAGCCATCCATTTAGGGGGGCCTTGCCGCCTTCCTAGGCTTGGACCATGGAGACCAAGGCCTTCTTTTTGGCTCACAGCTGGCATCTGTGGTCCACCGCTGGAATACCAAGCGCTTTCCCACGGAGAGTGGTTTTCAATCGACAGAGCATACAGCGCATATGAGCCTGTCAGAGTTGTTGTTATTGTTGTTGTTGTGTTGCTGCTAGCAGCGCTGTTAGCCACCCCATAGGAAAACGCCAACTTTATCTTTCCCACTTCATAATGATAACGTTAGCACTAGCATCCCACACATGTACAAGGAGCCACATGGGGGGCTGGGGGGGTGTAACAGCTGGGGGGTTGGGGGGGTGCAATAACGTTCTTCTCGCGTGCGTTTTTCAGTTTTTGCTTTCTTACTTTCTTTTGTGTTTGGAACTTCTGAGGCGCTCTTGATACTACGCT